GGCTACCAAGTGAGTTCCAGGAAAGGCGCAAAGCTACACAGAGAAACCCTGTCTCGAAAAACCAAAAAAAAAAAAAAGAATGGAAGCAAATCACACCACTTGATCAAAAAAAAAAAAATGTAGCAACGAGTACAGAAGAAACAGAAATGGTCCTGATCTAGGTCAATGCACAGGGCTCTGGATTAAACCCATGCAGATGGTCAAAGCCAGGCTAAGGCAGGCCTGGGGCACCCCTGAAGGGAGAGGGTTAGGAGACGACAGTACCTTCCAGATTGCCCTTGTTGTTGGTGACGTCAGAAGCCATCCTTTCTGTTGAGGAGAGAGGGACAGGTGTGAGGAGGTGGGGAAGTCTCTCCTTTCCCACGCAGCTGTGCACCTCTGTACCCCACAGAGGACCTGCTGCTCCTGGGCCTGCACCATGCACGGCCAGACCTTTCAGCACCCAAATCACCTCGGCTCTCGTCATCCTCCCCTCGGTCTTTCCCTCCGCAGCTGTTTGTCTTGAGGCGCTTGGGTGTGGGACAGTACTCAGAAGCGGCAGAGTCATTGGTGGTGCGTCTTCGACCTTTGTTCTCTGGAGGGGAAGCAGACGGATGTGACTGAAGGTCTAAGAGACAAGGCAAGCCTAGGACAAGACCATGCTTTGTCTGGGATCCAGCTGCATCTAGAGCAGAGGACAGTGATGGGTGTAGAGAACCCCAGAGGGGAACCCACAGCAGAAGCCAATTCAAAGCTCCTCTCACCCGGGAAGCAGGACAGACTCGTGTTCCTGGGGTTTACACATCTGAATGTGTAAGAGAATCCATCCTTCTAGAGCCAGCCCAGAGCACATGCTGGACCATAGCTGGAACTCTGAGGTTCCTACAGTGACGCCCAGAACAATGCCCAATGGGAGCATAGAGCTACTGAGTATTTTGTTGTTTTGTTTTGTTTTGTTTTGCTTTGCTTTTCAAGACAGGGTTTCTCCGTGTAGCCCAGACTGTACTGGAACTTACTCTGTAGACCAGGCTGGCCTTGAACTCAGAGATATTCACCTGCCTCTGCTGGGATTAAAGGTGTCCACCATCACCGCCTCTACTGAGTATTTGAAATGTCAGGAGGGACAAGATTT